TAAATTGTATTGTGGAATTGTTTGAATATAAAACTTAATTGAAAATTTTGTAAAGTTTTTGAGGTTAAAGTATAATTTTTCAAAACTGCATATACCATATAATTGGTGCCACATAAGCATCCCATAGGATTCCATTAAAAACACTAACGAAAATTTGTTAGATAGATGAATTTGAAATGATTTTGAAAGTTTGTAGATGATTTTGAAAGAAATTAAACTTTTTAAACTAAAATGAAAAGAGAGTAATAGTTAGTAGATGAAAATTTGAATTTAACCAAAATTTATCCCTAAACGTCTAATACAGTGGAACAGAGGGAGTACAAGTATAGAGAAGCTACTTAATTCTGTCGCCTACAATAATAATGTCATCTCCAATAATATTAATCCTTGCGATCCGAATACTACTAGTGCTTCAATTTCTTCGGTACGTGTTGCCGCTCCATCATGCCCTCTTCCTCCGACCCCTCCTCACCCGGCCGCACTTTTCTCTTCTTCGACTTCTTCTCTTTACACACCGCGCGCCTTCTAGTTCTAGCACAGCAGGTTATATATAGCTCCATTTCTAGTGATAATGTTCAATACTTTGATTAATTCTTCTTCTTCTTCCCTTTGTTTTTTCCTTGGGCCAAATATATAGGAGTAATAATTGGGGACTGATTTAATTTCCTGTTTTTCTTACATTAATTAAATCGTACTAGTACTTCATTCAATTTTCCCGTTAGTAGATATATGCATGCATGGTGGTCTTTTTTGGGAAGGAAAAATATATACAGTATTGTATAGGAATAGGAAATATAACAATTGCCCCTGCTTCTGCTTGGCAAGCTAATTGACAAATAATTTTTTTTTTTTTTTTGGTTCCCGCCTGAATACCGGGCTTCGCCTTTACTAATCTGGATCCAACTCGCGTCACACATCTAGAAATAATAGGTAAGTCTTCCAATAAAAGTTACTACGTACATAAGATCTCGAACTCGAGATTTTGGTTAAATTGAAACAAGTCGCTTCCATCCAACCCCTCGTTAATAATTGACAATTGATAACAATTTGATAGTTACAAGACATAATTTAGTACATAATAATTGAGCTTCGAGACAAAAATTGATATAAAACTGATAGTAGCAGTAGTTTATGGTACGTTTATTACAAAATTTAGCCTGGGTTTAACATTTAGGGAAATCCCTGAAATTGAACCCATCAAGTAGGTATTATACAACACCTTTCTTTCCTACCAATCAAAAAATAAACTTTTCTTCTTTTCCCATGGACAACACTTCCTCTCCCGTCTCTCTAAGGGCAGCAGCCATTGAATCACTTAGCCCCAGCAGATACTGCAATCGCACCAATTTCTCGGATTCAGGGTTACGTCTTGCATATATACCGTATAGATCAGCTAACTCCTCAGGCATATCCCATGACAATGGCTCTGAAGGAACAGCTTTGTCACAAGCCAGTAAGTCATTAAGAGAGGCAACCTACAAGAAACAAGGCAAAGCATTTAGCACCTATAGAAAGACATTTACTACGATGCAAATTTCAAAGCATGTGGCTCAGCAGATTACAAACAGGAGAACATCAACAACAAAATTAGCAAGCATAGATGAATGATGATGCCTACCACTCCTTGATGATTTCTCTGCCTTAGTAGTGATACAGCCTGAATCAAAGAATTGGTTAGTCTACTACATGCAAGCTCATGGACAACTCTTTTTGCCTTTTGATCATTAATCTTGAGATCTGATGGAATTTTGTCAAAAACTTCTTCCTCATCAAACTCTCCAGTGCCTGATGAGAAAATCTCATCTATAGTTTTCTTGAAGAGGTTTTCTCGCAAACTCTCTGGGATCATGGTGTCCAAATTAACACCTGCATCCTTGAGTTCTCTTATCTGCTTGATACTGAGCCTCCCTTGAGCAATAGCTTTTTCAATAGCAGCTGCCATTTTGCTCGTGGTTATACTCTTTATAATTTTTTGTGCATACTCTGGAGGCAAGCCAACTTGCTCCTGTAGCTCACTGAGCTGGTCAACCCTTGCCTTTGTCAATTGTCCATCAGCCAAAAGCACCTCAGCTTGTTGCCTAAAAGTCTGCTCAGCCATACTCCGATGGACATCAACTATCTCCTTCGTTGTCAAACCCAGGATTCCCCCAAGCTGGTTTAGCAGAAGAAACTCTGAATCCTCCTTCTTTGTGGTGATCTGAGCACCAAAGGGGATCCTTGTGACTTCTCCAGTAAGACAATATAGCAGGTAAGTTCTATATAGGTCCATCCGATCTCTCTCAGAGATGTCTTCTTTGAGAGTTATCTCTGCCTGGCCTGGCTTCCCCATTTTAGCAGTAAGCTCCTTGTCAGGTCTTATTTTCTTAAGCGTCTGAAGGCGTTCCCATCCATCATTGTCATCAAATCTGTGTAATTCCTCTTTAACACTCTCGTCTGATGGAGTATCAGAGGACTCACCTTTAATGTCGGCTATCAATTCTGTCACGACCAACCTGTTGAATGCTATCATCTTTTTAAGTTCTTTTGCAGACTCGGTTCGGTTCTCTGCTGACCGTGCACGTTTAACATAGGTCAAGAAAACCTTTCGAACCTGTATAGGTATAATAAAATGGATACCAAGAAAAGAGAAGCACATTAATCTTGGAAACAAAATTTCATCTATATCAATGGAGAGTAGTAAGTGAATACTCACAGCCTTGCTGGCAATTGACATAGCAGCTTCCCTTGTTAATCGCAAGCCATGTGCAGCTTTTCCCACAGCTTTCCTAACATCAGCATCATATCCATCAACTCCAGAAGCAACTGCATCCCTCACAACCTGAAAAAGCAGAAAAAACAATCGAAAAAATTGCCAAGTGATTAAAGTGGTAGACATGGTAGAGAGGTAGGTGAATGAACATATTCAGTCTCAAGTTATAGCATACAGTATCAAGCAACAAAAGCCATAGAGAGGAAAGTTTGTCTGATAACAGCCAGAAGTCTCATATGACAAGGACCAAGTGAAAACCATGATACCTTTTCAAACAAACGGCCACAGATATCCATATGGACAGCATCCACAGTTTGCTGAGGAATGCAAAGCATTACCCTTAGCCTCAGCAATGCAGCAACATCCTTGTCATCCAGCTCTTCATCAGCCACACATTGCTGAAGCTTTTTTTGGTATATTTCTTCAAATAAAGCATATATGTAAGAGACTCAACAATACTCAATAAACTGGAACCAGGGAAAAGAATAAACTTTTTGAGTTTCTTTTAACTCTGTCCTACCTTCATGAATCTTACTAGCCTTCTCTGTATCAAAGTGTAGTTCATCACATAGACTTTGGAGGAAAGCAGCTTTGCTATCTGCCATCTCTAGTTTACCATCCTGAACAGCATCAGAAAGTCGTTTCTGATATACTTTCGAAGTAACATCACGAGTAATAGCTTCTGCTTCTTGTTTGCCCAGTCCAAGAACGTTCCTCAGTTGGCTCAATGCAGCAAGCTAGAAACCAGAAGCAAAAGGCAGAAGAGATAACAAAAAGGTACATGGTAAATGTAATTGGCCATCCAAATAAACAGAGGCACTAAAAAAGCTGCAGACAACAGTTGATGCAAGTAATTAACTGATTAGAAGGCTAAACAGAGCTTCATAGGATAACAAAAATATGCATGCATGAATGCATCAGCATACAAAAAGCTGAGTGAGATTACCTAAAATGCCAATAAAAACATGTCTAGCGATATCTATAAAGGCTATGAGTGTGTTTGGGATTGCTGTGAAGTACTGTGACTGTGGCTGTGGCTGTGGCTGTGGCTGTGCTCAACTATGCTGTATTGTAACTGTGGTTGAGAGTTATTTAGTATTTGATTATTTATTTCTTAAAAGTATTATGAATGAAATATGATAAATTTTATTAATTATTAATTAAAATTTAAAAAATATTGTAAGATATATAATTATTAAACTATATGATATTTATTTTTTTAATAATTTAGGTTTTAAAATTTGTTATTTTTATTAAAATATTACAAACTATGATGTAATTAAATTATATGAAATTGGATTTTAATGGATAATTTTACAATTATATTAAATATTAGATGTTCTCCACAAAAGTCACAACAAGAAAGCTACAAAATGAAGCTTCTGACTTTATATATAAAATTACAGTAGATCTATTGTAGCTTTCTGCAGCTTTTAGAAAATGCAGTCTGAAAAAAATTTACCAAACACACATATATCTAAAAGTGCTGCATGGCTACACGAAAAAGCCCCCAACTGCAATCCCAAATGCACCATATATCAATTATCAACCCACATGTTCATGTGAATATAAACTCAAGCCTATAGTCTTAACATTTAATCTCTATTTTCTTCAGACAAGCCATGTGCAATCTGAATAGGAGCTTGAGCACAAGTATTCACCTTATTTTCTTCCATGCGGCCACCAGATAAAGAAGCTGTAACATAAGCCCGATAGAGAAGTTTCAAGTCATCCATCTTTCTGTCACTATCATATTCTCCACCTAAGCCAGAGATATACATTAGCAGCGATTATCTGATTACAAATGCTCCTTGTCATAACAAACATGGAATAGAAAATCAGTCAGAATCAGTACCTACTAAGGAGACAGGACCAACTCCACGTGCAAAACGATCAGCATCCATATGGTCCCTTAAGGAGATGAGCAGGGAATTGAAAGCCAGTATCCTATCAAGCTGTCCCACAGCTTGCTGGACTCCCCCACTGAAATTAAAGATTCATTAGATGATTAAACAGAGATGCAAAAACTTCAAACAGTTCACAAGTGAGCTAGTTGAGGAACTTTAACAGACCCACAGACACTGATGGAAAATTCAAAACAAAATAATAGACTGCACATGCACTAGATTCTTTTAACATTACAATCATACACTGCTCTTGTCCTGGACTTGAGTATGCTGAGTGCTGCAGAAATATTCTCCTCAACTAGTTTTCTTGCATGGTCCCTAAACAAGTCCTCAGCAAGCTGTGATGAACAGCATTACCATATCAAGAAACAATTAAAAAATCCAGCCGCAAAATCTGAGTGACATACCACTACAGAAAAACTTGAGAAGATGATACCTCATCAGAAAGTCTATAGTTGAGTTGTGCTTCTCTAAGGGCAATAAGTTGTTTTGGTTCAATGTCTGAAAATAAGTCATTCAAGCTCTGTGAGCAGTTAAGGAATACTACATACTAGTTTTATACTTGATAGTGATAAAACTTGTTAACTACGCAAAGGAAAAAACTTGTAAAAAAAAAAAAAAAAGGAAAAAAAAAAAGAAAGTTAAAACACCAAAAGAATCATAACAGGTTGGTCTGCACTTTTAGTTTCCTTATTTCTGATGGATCAATAGGATTACACAAAACTCAAAAGCCAAAGAAGTGCAAGTATAATATGTTAACCTCTGCCAAGTGAATTTAATTTGTAAGCGTACAACCGCTTGGAATTCTCACGGATAGCAATCCCAACCTGGATTGCAAGAAGGTATATATTATCAGCAAATATGGACAAACTTAACTGAGAGAAGCCAAATATTAGTGATCACATAACAGTGTAATTAAGAATAAAGGAGGTTACTGGGGAGCAAGTAAGGCAGGTGGATGAGTACCTCTGCGTCAGTTAGCTTTAAAACACGTTTCCAAGGTAAAAGGAATGATGATGCTTCTCCAAAGACTAGAGTAGAAACATAAATTAGCTTCTGAAATGCCTGCAGTGGAGGCAGAATTTATTATAATGGTCAAGCTCCGGCATTTCTATTTAAAACCCATAAAATAAGTTCCAAATTGATGGTTAGGAGGAGAAATACCCGACGTTGCTCTATGTTACCATCTCTGTCTCCGGTCTCAAGTTTTTGCCTGTTAATCCGCCTACCAATCTAGTAAAAATATATATATATATGGATATATATGGCCATGAGTGGTGTAGGTGAAGAAAGAAGAGAGAATGAAAATGCATGTAAAAAAAGTTCTTAGAATACCTCCATATGCACAGCAGCTGCATCTGGATCATCAATGCCCAAGGCATTTTTGAAGTTCAAAATTTTGTCAACTTCATCACCTTTAAGATCTTCATTCTCAGAAGGAAGGACAGAACACACAAAACTGAATTAACGATTAAAAAGAGAAGACGTCAGTTAACCATTGCATGTTTTTTTTTGCCTCCCTAAACACCTGACCAAAATTATTATTATTATTATTAAAGTTGAAGGAAGGTTCAACTTAAGTTACCTGCAGTATAAATCACAGAGCTCCATATGAAACGCCTCATCCTGCTTGCTCACCGCATATCTGAATTGTTAAACGAAAATAAAACATACTCAGCCACACAACAATACAATAACAAAGCATTTCTATGTATATATATATATATATATATATATTTCCCTTGAAACAAATTATATATATGTATATACTTTTTGGCAATATTTTCAATATCTTCCTTCTTGACAGCCCCAGGATCATCGCAACCGGCAACGTAATTATGCAAATTAACAGCCGCAACTTCAGGAACAGCGGAATTTGCCGCATAGACAGCTGCACCACCAGCAGCCCCCAGAACAGCGGCCCCACCCAACGCCGCATTTCGGGTTCCGCAGAACCGGAGTCCCAAGCCATAACCCGCGGCGACCGCTCCAGCAAGGAAGATGGCAGAGGTGGCTAATCTAATAGTGGGTGACAATTGATCGAGCACGGGTTGGATGCCGTCGAGGTCCTTCTTGCCGCCGAAAATGCCGGGGGTAGTGAGATTAGCAGATGACGGTGATTGGTCGCTGGAGGAGGAGGAGGAGGAGAGAGAGTTGAGAGGTGAGAAGAATTTGAAACGGCGGCGTTTGGAAAGGGAGGCTGGGCGGAAGCGGAAGGTAGGAAAGGAGAGAAGTAAAGGGTGTTGGGAGGAAGGAGGGGCTGAGAGGAGAGCGGGATTCATGGCCAACAAGGTGTTGCGGCGCCAGAGGCGAGGATTCTACTTTGCGGGTTCAACGAAGAAGGATTAGATTTAGGGGTGGGAACTGGAAATGGATATACTGCCCGCTTAACTTGAAGTAAACTACTAGTGAATGTATTATATTATAGAGCCTGCGTTTTAGATTCGGGCTTCTAGGTTTGGAATTTGGGTTGGGCTCGGCTCATATCTTATTATTATTAGATCTATTGTACGAAGAAAAGATGAGCTTTTTATCAATGAAACGGCGCAGTTTTTGCTTTGTCAGCAAAGCGAACTCTCCATATCCTATTCCTATTCCTATTCCTATTCCGCCGATTATCAAAAGCTGTGTCTGTCTCTGTCTGAACTGAACATGGCCGTCTCATTTTTTCCGTCTCTTCTCTCCAAGCATCACCATCTCATTTTTTCCGTCTCCTCTCTCCGAACATGGCCATGGCCATCTATTCGCTGGGATTCTCGACTTGTTTGCAGCACTCGGTCTCCGCCTCCACTGTCCACACCTAACACCTCAGAAGCTCACTCGCCTCCACCACTCTCCACCGAAAAATGGAAGCCCTTTCGCAAGAAAAAGGTCGTCATGCGGGTGGGCTACGTTGGTAGTAATTACAGAGGTTTGTTAATCATGCAATTTTTGCTTTTCCCACCAACTTTATTGTTTGTTCACTTCAAATCTCCATGTCTGTTTGTCTTACAGGTCTTCAGCTGCAGCGAGATGAACATCAATTATCTAGTAAGCTGATTTCTTACTTCGTTTCCCTTTCCCTCTTTTTTTTTTTTTTTTCGGTAAATGTCTTAAATTCTTCTTGTTTTACATATTTGCATTGCAATTCTCAACCGTACCGTAGCTGTTGAAAATGAACTGGAAACTGCTATATTTAAGGCCGGTGGCATCCGCAACAGTAACTACGGTGATCTACATAAAATTGCCTGGGCTAGAAGTAGCCGAACTGATAAAGGGGTATGTTACCTGTTTTATGTAGATCATCTCTCTTAAGGTTTTTTTCAATCTTTCCCAAGACTTCCATATATGGATCTACTCATGTGCATATGTATGTGTGTGCGCACGCATAGGTAAAGTGGTAATGAATATTGTAGGTTCACTCTTTGGCAGCGATGATATTATCTTTATTTTAATAGGTAGGGCCTATAATAATTAATTACAGAGCATTGAAATTATAGACATTTTTTGGGAGAGGGTAGAGCCTGTGCCTAACCCCTCTTCAATGTAGGTCTGCCCCTGTGTGCATATGCTTGTGTGCTCATGTAAAGTTGTATTGAATATTGTAGGTTCACTCTTTGGCAACAATGATATCATTCAAAATGGAGATACCTGAAGACGCATGGAAGGAAGACCCCAATGGCATTGCTCTTGCAAAATGCATTAACTCTTATCTTCCGGACAATATCAAAGTTTTCAGCATTTTACCTTCGCAAAGGTTAGAGCTTTGATTTTGCACTCTACTTACTTTTTTTTCAGTTGAATGTTGGAATCAATTTAACTGTTCCTTTTAATCAGAGATTCTAATTTGTTCATTGAAATTGGCATGTTTCAGTTTTGTTTAATTTGTGTATGCTACTGTTCCATTTTGTTTCTGCTTCTTCTTTTTTTTCTTTTTTTTCTTTTTTTTTCCTTTTTCTGTCTTATTGGGTGCATTCTTTCTTAGGAGCTTTGATCCAAGAAGGGAATGTAACTTCCGGAAATATTCTTACCTTCTACCTGTTGAAATCATTGGAATAAAGAGGCACTTCAGTGAAGCTGAAATTGATTATCATCTATCAGACTTCAATAACATATTAAAATCCTTTGAGGTATACTTGTTATTTTTCTTTTCTTTAATTTTCCAGCCCTCTGTTTTGATTGAGTTATCCTTTTTCACTTTTATGTTTAGCATTTAAGCTGATATGAGCTGGTGCCTCCAATTAAGTTGCTTTCTTAGCCTTCCCTTTGACAATCATTTTGGTTCATATCATATTTCAAAGGGTGCTTATTCTGGGTTCAGATATTCCTGTATAAGTACACTATATCGTGTGTATTTTATTATATGGATTTTACAGGTCACAGTCAGTGCTCATGACAGACTTTAGATACCATCAATTCAAATTTTGCCATAAACTTCTCATTAATTTAATTAGATACTTTATATCATGTGACTTCTCTTTAGGGAGAACATCCTTTCCATAATTTTACACAACGATCCAAGTACAGGAAACGAATTCCTCCAAGACAAGCCCCAAGAAATGGTCGCATGCCAAGAAGGCCAAAATCATCTGGTAAATTATCAGCCTTTGAGTTAGAAGGAAGTGATGGAGAAAGAGAATCTAGGAATGAAGAAATGGTTGCTTCAGAATTTGAAGAAACAAATAAAATTCCTTCAGAATATGGTGGTTCTGGTGCACATTTGGTTGACTCTGGCGATAATCACGGTGATGGTTTGAAGGATCAGAATTCTAACTTAGTTGTTCGTGCAAGGTGGCTATATGAACCTGATGAGACAGACAGAATATCTGCTTCCCACTTTAGAAAGATTTTTTGCTGTACTTGCGGAAAGCTGGAGAGCTCACTAGGATTTGATTATGTTGAAATTTCCATATCAGGAGAGTCTTTCATGTTACATCAGGTAAGCCTTTTCTAAGTATTAAATAAGAAGAATATCCATGTCTTTATATCTGTTAAAGAATGCTTTTATGTTTAACACTTTCTGGCAATTATGTTGAATCTTTCAAACTATTGGGTATGGTTCATTCTTAATTCTTGTGTCATTTTGACCCTCATTCCTAGGGTTTCATCATCATGATCTCTTGGAAACAAACTGCATAAATCATATGGCTAACCATTTTAAGAACCATGCATTCTGGGCTTAACTTATTTGCAGTCACAACAATTTCGGAGAATCTGTTTCATAAAGAATGAGTTACTAATTTCTTGAAGCCTTAAAGAAGTTGATTACCATCATTTGGCTGTCTTTGTTCGGGCAGGATTTAAAGTGCTTAAGGTGGACCTTATTTTGTTTTTGCCTGCCTATCATGTTGGAACACTAACTACATTATCTTGTATCAGATCCGCAAGATGGTTGGGACTGCTATTGCAGTGAAGCGCAGGTTGCTCCCAAGGGATATTCTAACAGTTTCGTTGACCAAGTTCTCAAGAATTGTCTTGCCGCTTGCTCCGTCTGAAGTTTTAATTTTGAAGGGGAACACTTTTGTATTGAGGAAACTGCCTGGTAATGTAACAAGGCCTGAAATGCAGACTATGGTTGAATCAGAAGAAATTCTCAAGGCTGTTAATGAGTTCTACACATCTGTGATGCTGCCTCAGGTTTCAAAATTCTTGGACCCTTCAAGATCACCTTGGAAAGAATGGGTTGAAATTTTGGACGCTAACACAAGCATCCCTGATACACAGTTGGAAGAAGTCAGGAATGCTTGGAAGTTGTGGAAGGACAAATTTGAGGATACAACTAGTTTTGCATCAGTTTCCAGTCAATGAAACAAATTCAAGATGCTCCTCCTTTCACCTCTCGATACAGACAGTGGTTCCTCATTCGAAAGTGTTTTGTACAACAGTATTTTCTGTATTTTAAAGGCTTTTTTATTAGAAAAAAAAAAAAAAAAAAAAGGTCCTCCAAAAAATTTTCCATGTAAACCTCGCAAAATTGAATATAATCCGAAAATCTGATTCAACTCATCCATTTTGAATTGAGTCATGGATTTTATATGTTAATTCGAAATTTGAAATGACTCGAATTGAAATCACTCGAACCCAAATGGGTTAAGTCACAAATTAGTTGGATCACTTGAAATGATAGGAATTTTTTTGTTTATTTTTTATTAGATTATTTAAAAATTAATTTTTAATTT